TTTCACAGAGTATGACATTTGTGTCCCAACATATGGCTCTCCAGCACTGCAAAATAAATGCCCTTTGTGCTTAGCAAAACTTCTGATTTCAGATTAAAATGACTGCAAATCCTGAGTCTGTCACTCCAAGACATCCTAACGTGGCTTTGCTTTCTTGTCCTTTCACATCACAAAGACACCAAACCAAGGATTTCCCTACTGAAATGCTGAACTGCTTTTTATACTGTTTACAGAAAGGACAAACAATGCTTGTAACAATGGATATTGTTCAAGGATGACGGGCTCCTTTGGAAAAGATCTCATCTATTTTTCATCACTTAGGTGGTTTGATTAACTTTGGTGAAGTTTACTGCATTTGGCTAATGATGGCAGGCTGTTTTTATGACCCTTGAGCAATTGCTTTCCATTTCTGGTCCTCAGGCACAATTCTCCCTGGGCTCACAAAGTCCTTTTACAACAACAATAAAACCTGAATTAAAACATAAAGAATATTTTACGTCTTCACCACTTTTTAAGAAGTTGGACCTAACACAATCTGACAGTTTGGATAGGTGGACTAACACTGAAAATGCCCATCAGCCATGTTATTTATAGCCTGTGTGGATATTTTAACTGCAAAGCTGTCTGAAGTGCTCACAATTGCAAGTAACGTGACAGCAAGAGTGAGAAACCTCCAAGAGGAAGAGAAGAAAGGGCATTTTTTTGCTGGGTGGTGGTAAGGTTGTTTTCCCTGATTGAAAATCAAACTTGAAAATATACATATAAAATAAAACAATTGGAATTATCATTTCCATGTTAGTCTTTGAATTTTATATCTAGTGTAGCAGTCAAATGCTTAGGCCCTTTCTGATCTGCTTGCATACTCAGGTTATATTTGTGAGGGAACATGGGATTACTTGGTCTAAGCATTTGTCCTGAACTTTCACAGAACCACGACAGTAAAAGTGAAAAGCCCCTGCTAAGGAAAACCTGTCTTGGAGCAACAGATGGGCAGATAAACTTCTTCATCTGTGACAGTAAAAGTGAAAAGCCCCCGTTAAGGAAAACCTGTCTTGGAGCAGCAGATGGGCAGATAAACTTCTTCATCTGTTGGGGATATAGTTATACAGGGCAGGCAATAATTCAAGGCAAGTAAAATGCTGGTGCTTGGATCTATGAGGGCAACTTCTATGCACCATTTAGGAGTTGTACTTGAGCACAAATGCCACACAAGGAAAACACAACCTGACATTTGTAAACTGAATTGATTTTCATGTAAGAGGAGGAGCAATTTTATCTACCCTTAACTGCAGAGTCAGTATTCCAGTGCTTTGCAGCTGTGCCATCCTCTGTCTCCCATGCCATGCAGAGTTACAGTGAGGGTGGCTTATTTTTACCTTTGTAAACAGAACAATTTTGTGGCTAGACAAGGGAAAAAAGTGACAGGACTCTATGGAGTTCATTTCAGACCCACTGGAATGCCCACTCTAAACCAACATAACATTGAGGGTCTTCTGTACCTTTAAACACCAATTGCCACTGGAAGAATCCCAGAAATGTTTGAGGCCCCTCTCCTCCAACCAATTCCCACTGCAGTTGCTGGGAGTCACCTTGGGCAGATAAACCTAAGTTTCTAATTGCTTTCCAGGAGTATAGACTCCAAGGGGTCTCCTAGGATCACTGAGTCCTGGCCCCAGGAGCCATGTGAAATAAGCTTTTCTCAAAGAACTCCCAAGTCACATTTTAAGGTAGAATTGGTCTATTTGTCCTCACTGCTATGAGGCTTCCTGCTCTGATTTTGGGTGGAGGGAGAGAGGGAAGAAGGGTCACCTTTTTTCAATGAAATGTTGGAAGCACATTTGACCAAATAATACTTTCTGTCATTTGCTGTGTAAAGTCGCAAGTGCAAGTAAAGTATAATTGCCTTTTTTTCAGAAGCTACAGGAGAACTCTTACAATGCTCCTGTGTAGCAGCATGTACATAGATTAATTTCTGAGGTCAGCAAAGGCACAAAGGAGATGTTGCAACCACAGCACGTGTCTACACGACTTCGTGTGCACTGTGCAAACATGAATCTTGTCTGGCTTGCTGATTTTGCTATTTTAAAAGTAATAAAAAAAAAATCCCATCCCTTCTATGCTGTGCAAACCATATCTGCAATAAAATGCCTCACCAATACAAAACCACAGACAGAATTCCCATTTTCTGCACTGGCACTAAACGAGGCTAAGGGTGTTCTCTCACCTCCAAGGAGTACTTTTGGTGCAGACAGTGCACCAGTGTCCCTGCTCAGTGCCTCCCCAGCAAACATCCTTCTGCCTCTGCTCTGGGAGCTGGGCACACTGCCTTGGGGATTTTTCCTAGACCCTTGTTTAAGATCCAAATAATCAAATTTACTTAATTTGATCTAAACAACACTTCCCCTTCTCCTGACTCCCCTTTCCTGGGCAGTGATGGAAAGATGGGGCTCAGCCCTTGGCTCCCCACAGCACCTGCACAGAGTTGCCCTACTGCACCTGCAGCATTGGTGTAAATAATCACCTAAATTGAGAATTGACTTTTCTCTGTCTCATTTTTGCAATGTTACAGCACAGGAGTAACTGGTTTTCTTTAAAAACGAGTCTGGGTAGCTTTATTCTCTTGCTTATCTTGTAAACCTGCAGAAATGCTCTGCCTGTAAAAGGTGGGTTTCTCAGCACTGTGCTCACAAGCTGAGACAAGCTCCACTGAGCCTCTGCACCCTCAGGAATTCCAAATAATATTAGTTTGCTCCGAGAAAGGCTTTACAGTATTTATGGGGCTGTCCTGGGTAACTGTGTTTCTCTCCCTGCAATGCCAGTGGATGTGCTGCATTCCCCAGAGGCTGCACCTGCCTGAGAAATGAGAGCTCTGACCCACACCACAGCACAGCAGGACCCACAGCTCTGCCCCACCACAGCATCCTCCTCCTGGGTTTGGGCTCTCAGTCATGTTGCAAATATGTTCATGGCACTCGACTGGTTCCGTGTCACAGACACCAGTGGTGTGACAGGTACCCACATGTGATCTGCTGTGAGTGTGCTTGGTTTGAGGGAGAGTTTTCATCGAGGGAAAGACATAGGAGCTATTCAGCTGCTGAACTCTTGTTTGCTCCCTTTTGCATAAAGCCCTGCAGACAGACAGAGGCTCTACACCATCTAAGTTCATGGGGTTTGCAGATCCACAGAGGCTCTACACCATCTAAGTTCATGGGGTTTGCATACACTTTTTTGTTAAAAAACCTATGGAAAAGGGCAGGCTGGGTGGTATCCTGGCAAAACAGCAAAGCAAACTGCACTGAAATGCAAGTTCATGGGCAGACAGTTTTTTGTTAAAAAACCTATGGAAAAGGGCAGGCTGGGTGGTATCCTGGCAAAACAGCAAAGCAAACTGCACTGAAATGCCATTTCGTTCACATCCAGCACAGTAATGCTGAGTGTTACACAGCCACATCCTGTTTTCCCAGTAACCTCGAGGCACACACACACATCCTGGAGAGCAGCAACCTGGATATGGCAGAGCCCATAAATCAGCAGGACACGTTACACAAGGGCAGGCTGGGTGGTATCCTGGCAAAACAGCAAAGCAAACTGCACTGAAATGCCATTTCGTTCACATCCAGCACAGTAATGCTGAGTGTTACACAGCCACATCCTGTTTTCCCAGTAACCTCGAGGCACACACACACATCCTGGAGAGCAGCAACCTGGATATGGCAGAGCCCATAAATCAGCAGGACACGTTACACAAGGTCAGCAAGCCAAGTGCTCCAAACGCTGCGTGTCGATAAGGCTGAGTGATGGGCAAACCTGTGTGTCGTGTTCCAGCATCACAAATACCAACTGCTGTTGGGGAACTCAGGGCTTGGGCTGCAGAAGACATCCCACTCTAGGTGCAGAACAGACTGGAGGACACTAAACTGGAGCTCACTCGAGCCAGGACTGCCATGAGACCACAGGAAGACAAAGGGATTCCAGGGAAACCAGGCAATACCTAACAGTTAGGTAAGTGCTGAGATAACTGTACCTGCTGCCAAACATTTCCTCCCCCTCAAAGTTAATTCAGCCTGGCAAAATGTGACATTCAGCAAACCAACACACTTTGTGCATTTCCTATGTGAATAGCTGAGATATGATGTCTTTTCACTGGGATGTGTCTCTGCCAGGAGCATTCCTCTGTTGTAAGGTTTCTGGGCTATGTCTCCAATCCCCATTATGCAGAGTAAATATTCCCTGGATAACACCCCCTGGCCAGAGCCCATAAATGCTATGGTTTCCAGTGTTGAATTATAAAGGGAAAACGATAGCTTCTCTCTGCTCCAAACTACTGTATTTTACCAGGAGTCTGAAAAAAAAGAATAGCCTGTCTGTCTCACCAATTCACAACAGTATTTGCTTTTCAGAAGTTATCTCGGCAAAAATTCTCAGGTTTGAGCTGAAAGAAGTTCTTTTGATTTTTTTGTGAGGCAGTAAAAACAGTGCTAGGCTACTAACAAATGTCCTCGGTAAATATCTGATGATTAATATCAAGGTTCAAGGCTTACTGGAGTAAATGAAACATTACAGCCAACTTCATAAACTACCCTTGCAGGTATAGTATGCAGACTAAAATCCAAACAAAGCCAAAATCTTCCTGAAAATAATAAAATGGAAAAAAAAAATCCAATATGCAACTTTCTGTGCAAGTCCTTAATTTTGCTTCTGTTAGGAAATAGATTAGGCTTTAACTTAGAGTTCAAGTACTGAATTCTTGCCAAGAACACGATGCAATTTTGTACACCTGCTAAACTAGGTCAGCACAGCAAACCCTCCTGCTCTCACAGACACCTCTCACCACTGCAGTGGGGAAAGGAGGGCACGAGGAACAGCCCTGCAGTGACAGGAGTGCTACACTGAGCAGCAGTGAACACAGACACACCAGATGTATCCCCTGAGACTCAGCCCTGGAAAGCATCCTCAGAGGGTGGGGAACAAAGCTGAGGATCAGTACACACAATACTTACTGATTCAGGATCCCTCTGCTGTTCAAGGAAAGCTGAAAACTCCACCAGCCTGAGCTTGGTCGTACCAATGGATCGGCCCTGCCACGCAGGGACTGAGGGAGCTGGAGCTGATGCAGGCTCAAATCCTGAAATAAAGCGACTATTTTCACAAAGCAGTTGACAATTCCTCAGTTTATATTTTCTCAATTAAATATAATTGGGAATTATGCATGTAGCCCTTGGATATTTGTATTAATTTGGGCAAGTAATTAATTCCGAATGAGTTAAAATTGGAAAAACTCAGAACAATATGAAGAAAAAAGAGGTCTCAAACCAGCAAGCTCATAATGGTGCAAAGAAAAAAATATCTGCTGCTTTGTTTCCTTAGGGCTGTAACTCAGTGTAGAATTTTTGTTTAAATTATATACTTCATTACAGAGATTTCAACATTCACATAGGCTTAGAGCTGACCCTTCCTCGGAAACTGGCACCAGGACTCTCAGGAGATATCAGTGCCTTGGGAGTCAAGAGAACTGGTCTCCATTTCTGGCTCCTAATGTGCCACATGCTACAAGTAAATCATCTCACTTTTTACCTATTTCTTCTGCCACTCTCAATTCCCCTCTCCTATTTAGAGCAGCACAAGGTTTCCAAGGCAGGGATGCTCTTACTATGTATTTGCACATTGGGTCTTGACTTCTTCTGGAGCTTTTAAGCAGTATTATATTACAGCTAATAATAAATAATTACTGTAGAGAGCTGAATCATACCCTAAAAAGAAAAAGAAGGTTTTAAAGTGCTAATAAAGAGAGAATGACATGATCTAGGTAGAGAAGGGATGTTAACCACCATCTCTAATTCACCTCGAGAGAAAGAATAAATGCTATCTCTTGCTTCTCATTGTAGAAAATTAGCTGAGAAGGAAAGAAAACAGTAAAGGCAAAGGGAAAAGGCAGCAGCTCAAAGGCAGAACTCATCTTGGGAGAGACACGGGCACAAGGAAGGCACCAAAGGTAAGAGAACAAAGATAATCCTGAACCAGGTTGAGAACCAGGGAGAGGTCACAGATAGCAAGTGTCCACGTTTTAGTTGTGAAATAGCAGAAGTTAGAAAATCAGAAACAACTGGGTAAGAGTAAAAAACCTGCGGCACAGAGTCGGAAGCAAGGTGTCATTTGACAAGGGAGGTGTAAAATGAGGTATTATCTGCAAAGAAATAAGGATCTTTCCTGGAATCAGCCATGAAAAAAACTTGGGAAAAGGAGCAGGTAAACAGCCACGAGAAGAGCCTGATCCATTTGAGCAATGAAAGTCAGAATAAACATCAGGTACTTATCAGCGTGGTACCAGGCAGAGAGGACCTTCAGGAGGGGAAGAGTTATAAACAAGGAGATTCACAGAGATCTTTTATACTTAAGGCAAAGCATCTATGATTTTGGAAGGGTTTTAGGCTCAGTCTGAACTAAAGTAAGGTGTATTCTTGTTACAGCTAGAGTCAAGATGCAGCCATTAAAAAGAAACACATCATATTACAATTCTGTACAACAATTCCTACAGTATGGAATGCTGACTGGAGGTCCCATATCACAACTCCTTGCATACATATTAGTGCTTCTCTCCTAAAAAAGCCCAAACCTGATTTTCCATAAGATATAATCAGATAGTAGACCAATGGGATTGGTGTTTGACTTGGCTAGAGGGATGTGAGATCTGCAGTAGTGGCTCTGCCCATGTCAGAAATGAATACATCACATTAGGTGCACAGTTCAAGTTTTTTTGGAGGATAAAAAGGAGGATTACCTGAAATGGGAGCTGTGACTGATGGCTGTATGGGATAGGCCTTCACACTGGAAAAATAAAGAGTTACACAAAAATCACACACTGTGCCACGGTAAATTCCATTAGAGTCACATAGGGTAAGAAAACAAGTGGTTGGTGACCTTTACCCACAAACATATCTCTTCCTTGCATAGCACATTTAACAGACAGACAGCAGAGAGGTAGTAGAGAGAGAGGGGGGTGAGAATTACACCCAGCATCTTAAAGTGAGGGGCTCAGCTGTGCTCAGTCACACAACAGGAAACCTGACCTGCCCAAACCAAGAGCCACGGGTGGCTTCCGTGGACCTCAGTGGAATAAGGTGAGGAGAAGCCAAGAAATAAGGCTGGGAAACATTGCTCCAGAGCCCATGGCAGGGCAGAAAATGTACCACCTGCCAGAGGAGCCAAGGCTTTGTCCTCCATATGGTGCTGAAACCCACTGCCCACCAATGGGCCCCATGCAGTCATCTCCTGCCCTGCAGGTAAACACATCCCCCTTGCACCAACACTGCTCAGATATTTGGAAGAGGATGGACGTGTTTGTGCTGGAAACTTTTCACAGACTAAACCTTCCCAGCTGCTTTCCCAGCACTATCATTAAGCCTCACTGTGCAATGGGAGAAAAATGAGGGTGCCCATCAGGCATTCAGCCTTAGCTTTGAGATTTGGGATCCCTTATAACCCTTTGAATGTGGGTTCACATCACTGCAAAGACTCTTTCTTCCCCCACAACTATCTTTCCCTCCTTTTTGGAAAGCTCTTGCTGCAGAGATCTGCTCTGGCAGCAAAGTGTACAAGCCTCACACTGCATAGAGAAAGGTATTTTCATTTTCAGACTTACTCTTGCGAGGATCCAGGCTGCCCCGTTTGAATCATGCCCGGCCAAAACTGGAAGAGGAAAGACAAACAAACAGACCCACAATTGTTCTCTTTGTTGAAAGCTTTTGGCTATTTTTGAACAAGCATGATTCCTTTTGCAAACATCAGTGAAAGCATTAATCCATTCATTCCGCCTTAGTTTTCTACTCGACATTGTTAGAGAATACAGGGATTTTTTTGGGACTCAGCTAACAACTTACCCCAGGTGCCCCAGGAAATGTAGGACGGGGAATTCCTGGCAGGCCCAGCTTGTTGTGAATAGCAGTAGCTGAGACTATCTGAGCTGATGACATTGCTGCCATGTGCTGGAGTGCTTTGTCCTTTGCTGTCTGATCCTTTAATATGACAATTACACGGAGTCTTAAAACATTTGGCACAACAAATGATGTTAAATAACTGCAGCTACAAGCACATAACTGAAAACTTAAAAAGCCACACAGAAAATGCAAAAATAGCAAACCATGCAAGGGGAAAAAAAAATACAGCATGGAGGCTAACACTCAAACTACCTCAAGGCAAAACCTCCTCTCAGACATGCATGGTAGACCTGAATTCTCACAGTCTGCTCTGCCAACATGCAGGAAGCTCTGGGAGAGCAAACTACTGCCCACTTTTTTATCTGGGCAAATTCTGCTGATTTGAAAGCAGGCTGGATGAAATGGGGTGACTGCTAAGGCTCCACTCTGCCTGCAGGACAGGGAGCACTGAGATTTGAGCTCTATCATTTGGATCTAAGAGAAGTTTGCCTTTCGTATCACACTGTAAAATGAGAACACAGAACTGCAACTGACTCGCAAACAGGGACAGATTCCTCCTCATGCTTACAGGTTTAGAGACATTTTGGACTCAGTTTTACCACGAGTACTTTGTAAGTTAGATCACAAACATGTAGATAACCTTTTAAATTTCCAATTGTGGTAGTTTACTGATTGACAGTGTTCCCAAAGAAAACCATCAGCCATAAAATTTCTGTTTTCAAGCATATAGCAACAAGTTTAGGACAAGGTGGGGTGTTATCAGCCACTTGTATTAGAGCAGTGCTTGGAGTCCAAGTCACTGCTGATCAGGTATGATCACAGAACAGAGAGGGAAAGCCTCTTAATGCAACAGTTAACCAAGGGGATATCTCAGGTCAGGTAAAACAGGTAAATAACAGACTATTACTATCTGCTAAAGCAGAGTTCCTCTTCCAGAGGGACTGTATTAATGAGTACTAACACTTAGCTATGTGACTTAGAATGAAGGAACACAAGCAGTATTAGGCAAGGATATTTTTTGAGGTTTTTTTTCTGGTTTTATTTTACAAGCAAAGTAGCAAGCATGCTGGCAGGAGATGCATGCTTCTATGTATGATATATGACTTTGCACGTATGCTCCCTTGAAAGCTTGTACATAGTAGTACTATAGGTGAGCAGTTTCTTCCTTTGAATAGCTCCTTTAGAAACAGCACAGGCTGAAAGTACAGGAAAAGCTAGCCAAAAATTCTGCCAAGCACAGCTAAGGTACATAATACTTGGTTTAGTCAAAATACTTACCATGCTTGTTACCTGGATACAACAACAAACAGTTTATTAAAATGCTTGTGTAGAACAGCAGATTCTTAGCAAATTATGAACAAAATAGTAAGAGACAAAGGAAGGGCAGTTTGCTCAACAGTAAATATCAGCTTTAAACAAATGCATTGTTTTCATCTAGGGACTGATTCATTAAAAGGGAAAAAATGGATTAAATAAGAAAACCTACAGCAAAACACTGGGGAGAAATAACCCCCAGGTGCCTGTGTGAAAGCTGTGGGTACTGAATGAGGGGATTGCTGCTGGCTGTGTCCCTGAGCCCTGTGGGACAGCCTGGGAGAGCAGCAGGTGGAGCAGAGGCTGCTCCAGCATCACTCCCCTCTGCTCCTCGCAGGATGTGAGCCTGAAGGACAACTCTGCTCTGCTGCCTGAGCAGCACTGACACCTCTGGGCTCCCCTGCACTGCCCTCTGAGCTGCCTGAGCCCCAGGACAGCCTCAGCACAGCTGAGTGTGTCTGCAGAACAGCTCCTGGTGCTGTGTGCTGGGCAGGACACTCATATCCATCAGGGTGTGGGCAAAACTCGGTCATTTCTCCCATATACCCACAACCAGTTCCTTGGTTCAGAGCTGCACATCAGCCCTAGCTCTGCCATCACTGGCACTCATCTCATCTCTGCCTGCCCCAGGGTGGGAGGAGGTTTGTGCATGGCATGTTTTACTGGCTTTGCATGGCTTTAGGCCACTGGGCTCAAAAAATACTTTTGTGGGTGTTAAGAAGTGGCAATATCCTGAGATTCATGCAGCTCTCCAGGCCTCTCTACCCTCTTGCACAATGAGAAGGACTCTCCATCATGAAAACATGAAAATGAAAGATGCCCTTAAGCAACATGGAGATCTAGCCCCACCAGATTTCTCTGTTCCATTTCTCCCCTTTTTTTGTAAGGAGAACTGGCTTGGAAATGTCTAACCATGCAAGTCTCACACTTAGCCTGCTGCTGGACCATAATGAAAACAAACACTCAGGGGATCGATACTTTGTTAGGGATCTAACAGTCCATTCCTGGGAGTTGCATGAGCCCAAGGTAGATTATAATCTATAAAACAGTTCATCTTGCCTCACTTTACCCATGTGAACTCCCTGGCTAAGCCCCTGAGTGCAGCACACACCTACAGGAGATGATGTATTTCTCCCTTATGAGTCATCAAAACCAACTAAAGTGCATTATTTTCTGTAATGTTATTGCTGTCCAAGGACTAAAATAGGGGCCTGGACACCCAACATGGCAACGCTTACGGCAGAAAAATCCCACAGTAAGAGACGAACTAAGAAAAATTTGTGAAGATTTACACTTCCTTCAAGAGCTTCTCTTCACAGAAGGAGGGACACTTAGCCTGTCCTGTGGAGCTCTTAGCCAGCATTACAGTGAGTCTGATGATCCTGAATTTTAGGAACAGTGACAGGGATTTCTGGAGGGAGAAAACATCTTTTCTTTCTTGCCATGATATGGGATGTGTCTCCCTTCTTGCAAACTGCTGCCTTGCACCTTAGAACACTCTGTGTTTTGTGGTGGCCTCATTCATCTCGTCCTCTTTGGACAATTACATTTTCAGAAGAATGGAGAGGAAGAGAATGCCAGCTCAGAAATACAGTCCTTGCAATAGGGCTAGTCTTGAGGAGTTTCAACAACTCCCATAAAGTTTCCCACTGGTGACAAATCTGCCAGCACCACAGGACACCAACAGCCTCAGGCCAACACACACCAACAGGAAATTTCACCTTTTGTAGGCTTAGGAATCTCTACATAGTCAAAAGATCAGTTTTTCTCAAAGTAACTGTAACTTCACATTCAAACATGAAAGAAATAAAATTCAGAGTCAAATACATAGGAGGTCCTGACCTCCACTGGCCAAAGAACACCTTCAGTTTCAGGTGCATTTTGGAGAGCTGCAGGGTGGAGACCTATGCTGGTATGATCAGGCAGACTTCATAGTCTTCAAAAACACATGGGACAGCCACATTTTAAAGCTGTCTATTTAGACTGTAATATTAGCTCATCTGCCACTTCAAACCAAGTCTATGTTGGGCTTTTTATGCTGTAATGGAGACCACTGGTGACCAGGAGGGAACGAGTCTCCCTATCACTGCAAGGCAGCCACTTCTGGGATGAAACTTGGGAACTGATTAATAACACACAATGGTATTACATCACAGTTTAGGCAGCAAGAGAAGTAATATATCCAATTAAAACGGCAGGGGTAATTTAAACAGGCAGATTACAGTAATTACCCAGGTTGGAATTTGGCCAGGACAAATGGGTTAACAGCCCTACTCTGAACCAGAACGTTGGGGGATTTTTAATAACTGCAAAGAGTTAAATTGAGGATTTTGATTTCCTATCTCGTCCAAGACAGAAAGGATTTGGTTTTGCTCTCACTTCTGCTGCTGTGTAAAGCTGGAATAAATCCTTTCAGGTCAATGCAGTTTACACTGATGTAGTAAACTAGAAGTTTGGCCCAGAGTGCTGCAATCCTGTGCTGAGCTTCAGCAGAGGCTTGGGGAGACAGTATCTCCTACTGAATCACTAAATCCTGCTGGAGCTTAAGGTATTCCTCGGATGGGACCCATCTGGTCCTGACCTGGTTTGACCCTACTTTATTTATGAGCTCAGATGGGACTGTTGTTGCCCAGGAATGACACTGGAGTAGGCAACAGGTTGCACTCCTACACTCCTGCCTTCCCCTCCCCTTAGAAAAGCCTTCTGTCCTGTGGTACATAATTAGTAATGAATGTTACCAAGGTGGATTGAGAGCACAATCAGCGGAAAACTGGTCTAGTTACACTAAATCCCTAAAATATCATCTCTGGAACAGAGATCGAGTCCTGGTTCATGTTTTAACCGACTGCTCCTGGCTGCAGTTGCACACACTTTGTTTTAGAAAAGATGTAAGCTCTAAGAATCTAATGCAAGGAGACTATAACTTTTAATGAATCAGGCCCTTGAGGTTTACATAGTTAAATTAGATAATAATAATTCTCCGGTATCATCCAATTATAAACCTTAATATCTATAAAAGCCCCACATGAAACAAGAGTTCTACATGACAAGCACTAAAGGATTTGTGCTTGACTTGCTTTTAATCCAACATAAACAGAAGAATAATTCAATCAGTCAGTTCAAACAAGTTCTAGAGCAAAAAAAATCAAAACTGTTATGCCAGAATGATATATGGGGCTTTGCATGTTATCTATGACTTTGGAAGGTAAAAAATAAATCTAAGGCAGTATGAGGAAAAGAAAGCACAAGAGAACACAGTATTAATTCAAGAAACCCTAAAACCTATAGCAATATTTAAAATACGAAACTTTTCTTGCAAGAAAAAGACAGACATAAGAAACAACAATTTGCTCACAAAATGGACGTTACAGTAACACGAACATAAAATAGATTCCTAATAAGCAATTTTGCAGATGTTGCCCAGATCTTGCATTGATTCAAATAACCTTTGCAATAATTAGCTGTAGCTCAAAAAAGATAAACAAATCATGACAATATACAATTGTTCTGGACAAAAGATAGAGAGCACTTCAGTGTTTCTAGCCCTGATCTCCAATTTGCTTATTATTAGAGAAGACAGGAGTAAATACAAAAGCTGGCTATTTCAGCCAGGCAATAGCTAATGCCAAGAAGAGAATGCGCATTCAAAGCTGTCCCAACTTGCTGCCTAATGAGTAGCAATTAATCCATCTTATTGTATTTCAAAATGCTGAAGACTCCATTCACATCAAAGGGAATTTTTCAAGGCTTTTATCATTGTTCATTTAAAAAGTATAGAGCTATCTTTAGCATTTTATAACTGACAACAATATTTTCTTTTCATCCCTCGATGTGGAATGTAGAATAATGGATTTTAAAACATGTAATACATATGAACTGTAGGCATTTGAATGTTTCCTTTTGTCTCTGTCTAATTAATCTTGCACTATGCTAAAAAAAAAAAATCTGCTGTGAGAGCCTAAGATAAATGTATATCCTGCTGTGAACACCTTTACTAACTGTTTATGCACAAATTCCAATTCATCTTTGCTCCTGAATGGACAGAGGTGACTTTGGCTCCCTGTCAGTGCAAAGGTGGAAAATGCTGCAACCTAATGCTATGGACTGGTGTATCTGACACGGAAACACAACACTTGAGTGTAAAAATTCTGCTTTCCTCCAGCCTCTGCATGAGAGGAAATGCCACGAAGAGGAGACGCCTTTCAGATCTGTCTCCAAGGACAACTTGATCTCAGCCTCTCTTCCAGTTTTCATGAGATTAAATTTCTCTAACTTCAGGAAGATATTAATAACCTCACTAATTTAAGATTTAAATCTCTAAAATAGGAGTGTTTTCCTGCTGTAAGAAGAATGAAAATTTGTGACATCCCTGGAAGGGCTGAGGGGGATTCTTTGCTAGTGGTCTTGAAACGCAGCAACAGCATCTAGAGGTGAAACTTCACTTTCTTGCAGGCTAAGGATCCATCCCTGCAGAGCAACTGTAGGCACTTCTCATCACAGGAAAGGGACTTTGCTGGGCCAAGCACACTTTATGGAATGCATGTAAAAAGTCTCATGTGTAAGAAGAAGTTCTTCCTATCTTCTTGGTCATTTCTTCACCAGGAGATGCAGGCAGCATCCACTCCAGGACAGCAAGAGCCCATCAGCTTTCTAAGGAGGTTGATGGGGCAGTCCAGGCTGCTGCCAAAGTGGTCCTTGTTGAAGCAATGAGCACTCAGAGGTGCTGGAATTTATTCACCCTGTCTTCCTTTCGCATCAGTGATGCCTTCTCAGGCAGTTTTTGAAGTCCTCTGCAACCTGCTCTAGGTACCCCTGCTTTGCCACGATGGGTTGGACTAGATAATCTTCAGCAGTCCATTCCAATTCCAACCAGCCTGTAATTCTGGGTGACTCTGTGTGACAGTGGACCATCCAGATGGCTCAACACAAGAATACTAAGAAAAACAGGCAGCAGCACTAACAACTTGTCTGGAGGAGGAAGGTCCCATCTAGGTTCAAAACCTGCAGCTTCTGCCACTTCAATGGAGTAATTGCAGCTCCCTTGCAGGAAGGGCAAGAGGTCTCTTCCTAAAGCAGCTCCCTTACAGCACCTTCTTGCATCAGTTTCATCTCTTCCATGTGGGGACCTAAAGGTCTGTGGAAAGCTGCATCTTCTTCAGAAGGAACCTGTGCAACGGGCAGGTGTTGTGCCATCTCCTTGTTCACCGGGACCAATAATAGCAAGGAAAAGACGAGGGAGATGAGGAGAGTCTTCACCCTTCCTGGGCACCCCTCAGGCTGGGGCTGTGTCAGGGCTCCTAGCAGCCAGGAGCAGGGCTAGGAGGAGCAGCCTGGGAGCCACTGACCAGCAAGACCTGCTGGGGAAGGGCTGGGGTAGCTTTGCCATCAGTGATGCCTGGTGGGCGGCGAGGCCAGTGGCCAGGAGACCTTTGTCACCAGTGTGCACTCTGTCCCCACAGTGATGTCAGGGAGGGTTGAAGCAAAGGTCTCTGCAGAGTGTTGGGAATCTTCCTGAAGGGTGATGTCAGGGAGGGTTGAAGCAAAGATCCCTGCAGAGTGTTGGGAATCTTCCTGAAGTCAGCAGCTCCTAACAGTAAATCAGCAGCTCCTCCACTTTCTACTCAGCTCTGGGAGAGCTGCAGCCCATGGACAGGTGGTAAAGAGCAGCTAGGCCTGAAGCCCATCTGAAATATTTTGTTGTCCTAACAGATCTTGCCTTCTTCAGGTGACTCCTTAAACAGAAAAAACCCTACAGCTCTTTATTTACTGCAAATGACATCTAGGGCTAGGGGGCTCCAATATTCTTAGGGTTTGACTAGCTCCTTTCTTGTTTGGAAAGCTCCAATAAAAATCAGACAGCAGGTGCAGTACTTAAAAATGTGGTTTTTCTTTATAAGTGTCTTCATATTTTAAGCCATTTTGGTCATTCAGAAAGGGAAATATTTTAGAACAGTATTTGTGTTTAGCTCCTAGGCCTATATTTGGTACCTAATTTGGCTCCCTGATTTTCGCAGCCCTGAGCACTCACCAATCCTCTAAAACTCCAAGAGCTGCTGGTGCTGAGCACCTCTGAGAATAGTCCCACCTATTTACAGACTTAATCTTAGGCATCAAGGCTTGACAATTTAAGCTTAAAATGCTACATATCTCTGCATTATTGCCCCCTGGGTTAAAAAGCAGGACGTTTAAGTTGTCTTAGTTGTTCTTGACGAACCCCAACTGCTCAGCCAGTGCAGCTCTAAAGCCAGCCACCAACAGCCAGACAAGCTTGCCAGCATGCTGCCCACTGCAGACAAAAACCCAGAGCTTCTGTGGAGGAGAGGCCTGTTCCAAAGCCAGGCTGGGACTCACACGCTGCAGCTCAGGGATGGTGCTGAGCATCTGCAGCGCTCACCGCTTAGCATTGTGAAATTACTTTCTGAAACATTTTGCTTTCCAGCCAGAACAAAAACGTGATTTGTTCTCATCTGGGTGAACAAAAAAATTCCACCAAAAAAAGGGAAGAAAAAAAAAAAGGGGGAAGTAAAAGGTTTACAGGTTCCTTCGTTTTTTTTATTAAAAAGGAAAAATAAATCGACAGCAAAACTGCTAAGCCCTCTCTTCCACTTTAAGCAGTGTGAAAACAAAACAGAAAGGGTCCCAAGATCTCTGCTGGAAAAATTTGAAAAAACAAGCAATCCAAGAAACCTATTAAGCATTTCCAAGAGTTTCTTTTTAGCCTTAGTATATATTTTACAGAAAGCAGAGAAAACAGGGATAGGAACAATTCATCATGTCAGATTATGCAAACATACTTAATAATCCTTGAACAGGACTCTGACTGAGGCTCTCCAAAGATTCAATGTCAATAATTTACTTGGAAAAAATCAAATTTCATGGAATTTTGTGCACGACTCGAGGTGATACCAGATTGTACTCCAGAAACACCTTACAGTCAGAGCAATCTAGATCAGCTGTGCTCTCTGGCACTTGGAAGAAATGATCTGCTTTAAATATTCTTGATAGCATTTCAGAAGCACAGACAAAAACCACTTGGGAATGGAAAACAATTGCCCCAATTACCCCTCTGGGAAAAAAAAAAAAAAAGAAAAAGCAAAAAAGAAAAAGCAACTCCACAACTGCGCAAAACCTCTGTGTATTTAAATACACTCCTAGCACTCAGCTGTGAAAAAAAAATAGAATAAAAAAACATGGACTAACGGGTTAAAAATCAGGTTTAGGTGCTGAGCTGTTACAAAGAGTAGTTCACTTTGCATCTGGACAGTGTTAAGACACGTTTTTAATGGGGATGCTAGTGCAGAGCTGGAGGTTAGACACAAAGAGACGCGACAGCTCCCGCATGCAGGGAAGGAGGTTAGGGCACAGCATCCCCAGCTCGCCCAGCACCGCGGGGAGGAGGAAGGGACAGGCATAGCAACCACAAGCCCAAAAGCAGAAAAGCGCATACCTTCAGCTTGGAATGAAAATCACGAGATTTCCTTCTGGCAAGAACCTGAATGTGACTAGACACCTGCAGGGTAGGGGAAGGGAGGAAACAAAGGAAAAGCCTGTAACCATGGAGATGAAAAGCCCCCTACAACTGGGCAAGCCAAACGTACCTTAATGGCGGCTTGAATTTCTCGAACTTTCTTTCTTGCTAAGACCTGTATGTGACTAGACACCTACATTGTTCAGGTTTATGGGGGGGGAAAAAAAAACAACAAACAAAAGAAAAACAAAAAGCAAATCAAATTTTAAATGTCTGTTTTCTTTTTCTTTTAGAAAAGAAACTTTTCTGAGGGGAGGAAGTTATTTTGCATCTTCAGTACGCTCTGCTGTTAAAGATACCACATTCCCAGACAGATACCAAGCTCTTAGCACTGAGGCTTAACAATACGGGTCATCACCGCAGTGACTTGATTAAGGGAAGAAAAAAAAAATAGGAAGAAAAAAAAAGTTTAACCCACCAGGTTGTGCATTCAGCTACAAGAGAGAAGACCCAGTTCCCAGCTGGACGCAGACCACGTGCTTTGGTGCCAATCCCATCCATGCCCAGGCCCTGCTCTCGTGCAGGGATCCCACAGGATTTCTGCCCCATCTGCTGGGGATGTAGGTGCCCACTCCAACCATGTGCCACTAGGCTTGAGACATCGCTTGGCACCAAGAAATTTTATCCATTATTTATTGTGCTCTGCAGCTCCAACTAGGAGTCTCAGGCTGCATTTTGACCCCTCTGAAATGCTTTAAATTCTGGCACTAATGGTAATACTGGCACAACACAGGTCCCTGAATCCATGCTGGCTTCTTCAGCAAACTCAGCATCACATCTGCCCACAAAACACTCACCTAAGTGGGGACTAGTAACTTGACATCAGCTTAAGTGATGCCCCAGTTTGGCCCACGGCCGTTACATTTTGCTCAGAAATTTGTGAAAGCCCTTGGTCAAACATATCTTGTTTGACCCAGGACATACCATATCAGGTGGTGTACATTTTTCCTAAGTCAGTTACATTCCTGTCTGGGAAAGAACAAAGCAAAAGAAAAGGAGAAACAATGCTTTCCTCCCCCTGTAAGACTATTCCATGGCAATAGCACCAAACAGCCTGTGTTTTGGTAGGGAAGCAGAGAGTAGTGTATCAACAAGCACAGTCCCTGAAGGCCACCTCCAGGGACTTCTTCAAGAAGCAGCTTAGGAACCAGTTTGCAGTAATTCAGAGTTATACTGCTGCTTACTAAGCAATTTTGTAGTCAAACACATAGACCATGTTTTGCCTTCAGCAGAATATTAGTGGTGTTAAAGGTTATATGAGAAGCACAATCGTAACGTTTAATTGCTCAATTTAAATTCCTAATTAAGGACAAACAAACTCTTCTAAACAGTCTGAAGTGGTTTATGGATTGCTGTAGAGGGATGTCCAAGTATGGAGACAGACATCACCATATGCAAGCCATGAAACCCTCTCAGTGTCTTGTTGGCCAAAGATCTAGCCCCAAGGTCTGCATTTGACTCCTGATGGATCTTTACAATCTCAGCATAATGCCCAGCTCTTGGAGGTGGCATGGACATGGCAGGGCAGAGCTTGGAACTTTGTCCTTTGTTTCTGATTTCTTTGCCAATCTTTGGTTTGCTCTTTTTCCACATACTGCAGTTTCTCTCCTTTCTTGTGCCCTTTTTTTCATCCCTTGCAGACATTTTCTTCCTAATGGCCAAGGGACACCACTCAGGGCAAAACAGCACCCAAAGTGCTTTAAACCCCAGTGCTGGCAGCAGGTCATCTTTGTGTGTGCTGATCCAGCATCATCCTTGCCTACAGAACACGTGTGCAAGGCTCTGCCTTCCCCTTTGCCACACACCTGCACAGGGAGAAGGGGAATCTTGCACCTGACGCGAGAGAAATCGAGGGCACTCTGCAACTTGTGAAGCATTTTTAAACAGCACAAGGGTTTAGTACCCACTGCATGAACTCTATGGTGGATGTGCCTTTGGTGAGGCTGCTGAGTGCCAGAATAAATTGGAGGATTTAGTCATATGAGATAAATTAATGGGTATGTGACCATCATCTGAAAAAAAACTCTTAAGACTGGTTTAAGGTTTATTCTGACTCTTTGATGAATGAAATCTTACGGTGGTCACAGACCAGGAGCCTGGAGGCTCTTAAGGGAATTTTTGAGTCATTTTTTCATCCTGTAGCAGCTACTGGCCATGAGCTGAGAGCATGATTATGATCCATTCTGCTAGATAGTTTAGATTTATTTACCTCTCATATCCAAGAATCATAACCTCTATAGGCAAATTCTCATGCCTTATAAGAAGTTCCTTATATTCTGTAGTTATAGTATATTATAGAGAAATAAAGCACAATGCTTTATGCTTTTACTTCAACTTTTAAATATTTTTTGCAAACACAGGTGGAAAATAGCTACATAAAAATGCATCCTTAAACCATCATTGAAATGATGATGCACAACATAAACCCCAAGTTTTAATTATTCTCTAAACAGCATGTATTTAATCTGACCAGTGAAGTCAATACATCATCTCATCAGAGCTGAAGCACAGACAGCCACTGCAGCCAAAAATGCCATGTTTTGTCCTTCACTGACATGCAAACTTCCCCACTGGGTTATTTTACCTGCTTCCTGGTCCGTGTCTTCCCTGTTCTAAGTTTGATGTATCTGGCTATCAATTCATTCCTACCTGAAACAAAGAAAAATTCATGATAAGGGACAAGAAGCATCACAGACATAAACACCAATAAAACACCACATTTAAACATATGAACTCCATGCACATGAGGCTTATTTCTTACACCCACTCCACTTTCCCTTGGCAAACAATTTATCAGTATTTCTCACTGTTCACCAATATTTCCCTTCTGTCCCCCTGACAGGCATTGTATGTGCCACAGGAACTACACAGAGGGCTCTGATTCAGTGTTTCCCCACCAAAGTCCTGCAGCTGTTGGCAGGCAGAGGCACTTCCTTGGCCAGTGCTGGTGCCTAGCATGGTCTCTGACTGGAGAACATCCCATGCTGGGGCCTGACACAAGGTCTGGGCTCCTCTGGTTTAGCTTCCAACTGCTCCAAGTGGTGTTTGCCCACCTGGCCCACCTGGAGCCCTGCCGGGAGGTTGTGGCTGCTCTTGAAGAGCTCAAGTGCCACCTGAGCCAAACTGCCACACACCCAAATGTTACAGCTTTTCTCCAAGTTTTAATTCTGTAAGGACAGCCAAATCTGTCCTTCCTGCCAGGAAGCACTCTGCTTCTCCTCCAGCGATGGAAATC